AACAACTGAAGATGCAGCGGCAGCGCGGACGGGCCGTGTGGCGGGCCGACCTGCGCGGGCGCCGCCCCCGCCCCCGCGCCCGCCAACCCCGCCCTTCCAACCGCCGAGCCCACCGCCGCCTCCATCCTTGCCGCCGTTGGCGCGCCACCTATGCCCGCCCAGGTCTGTGGTTCATTCTGCCGCCCGCCAACAGGGGCATGCTGCGCGCCAGTGACCGCTTAAGGAATCGGCGGCCAACGCTGAGCACGCAAAAGACGCTACCCTAGACAGCTTTGCGGGGGTTGGGGTGAGCGCGGGGGGCGCTGCTCATGGGGTAAGCCCGCGCCCGCGGGGCGGGCGCGCGACGCCGTGCTCGCGTCGCCGCGCCCCGCGGGGGCGCGCGGGTGCAGCGACGCCCCGCAACCTGCCCCAACCACAGGAGCGGCGAAGGGTGGGGGGAAAGGAGAAAGTCGCTACCGCGGCAAGCCGACGCGCGCGCGGAGCGCGCAGGCCGCGCGATTGGCCGTTGCGCGCCCCTGCGCCGCGCGTCGCGCGCGGGGGTATGTTTGCCCCCCCCCCCCCCCCGCCGCGGGGAGAAAGTCATGGGGGGGGTCCAAGGCCCAGAACACGAAGTACACGAGGACCTGGGCGCGCCCCCCTCATCTAACCTCTTGCCCGACCGCGCCGCCCGCCCCCGCCCCCGCGGGCCGCGCGGCGATTCGCGGTGCCCGCGGCGGGGGGGGGGGGGGGGGAGAGACGCTACTAGGTGCGCGTTTTTGTGACAACGAACAAAATTTCGTAGTGTTCTGCCCCGCAAAAGACGCTACCCTAGACAGCTTTGCAGGGGTTGGGGAGAGCGCGGGGGGCGCTGCTCATTGGGTGGGCCCGCGCCCGCGGGGAGGGCGCGCGACGCCGTGCTCGCGTCGCCGCGCCCCGCGGGGGCGCGCTGGCGCAGCGACGCCCGCGGCGCTTGCTGCGCCGGCGCGCGAGGGAACGCCCATCGCCGCACTCGCGTGAGGTGCCTGCAATGCTACCCCTTTAGCCTTCATCATCTTCGCTGGACGACAGGTCGCCGTGCGCTTCCCTGATGGCAGCCACCTCCAATTCGTCTTTGTTTAAATGAGACAAGAAAGCCGCATGACGCCAACCTCCGGTTCGTAGGATGTCTGCCAGGCGCGAACCTCGGGCGGCAATGTCCTGCGCGTGGCGCCCGCGAAGATCGTGCGTGCGATGCGCATGATGCTGGGGCGCCCCGAGCTCTTGCAGGGCTGCGCGCAGCGCCGTTAAGACCACGTATGGGCGGAAATGCGCGAAAGGCTGTCCGGACTCGGCCTCGGCGCAAAACTTGCCCAACGCATGCACGGGGCACGTTGCTTTGCAGCGCGCGCACCAACAGGTCCGCGACGTCGTGATCGGCGAGGCGCGGTTCTTGCGCCAGCGCAGAGTACGCGAAATCGAACTGTCATCAAACCGTAGGCAGGACTTCGGCTCGCCCGCCTTCGGTGGATCGCTTGCACGAGCGACGTGAATCGGAAGGGCTTCAGAGGGCAGGCGCAACATGAATATATACGCCGTCAGGAGAAGCACAGCGCGCGCCCTGAAGGCTGGTGGGCGAAATGCTTCAGCAATTTCGCGAGAAACGCCTCGCGAATGACAATTATTGGGCGAGCTGGTCAAATATTGCGCGCCTGCGCAGCTCGAGGAGCGCGCGCGACTGCAGGGTCTGCAAAAGCGTCGGCCGATACGCGTAACGCGATGCACGCTAAGCTTACGTGCGAGAGATAATTGTCGAACGTGCCTTTGCAAGGAAAGCACGTGCTCCACAGCGCCAAGCCGTTTGGCGTAGATGGGATTAAGGATTCCGCGTCGCAGCCGAGTGCTGTAAAAGCCGCTCATCACGCTGGGCCACGTCTTTGGGCAGCTACCCCAAATGGCGGCAATTCTGGCAGAGTTTGACCAATCGCTTACTGCGCGCCGCACGATCCCCTGCCGCAAGGCCTCCACCTCGCGGCGAGGGCCCGCGCTCAGCACAATCGCGTGCTGGCTCGCAATGCTGACAGCCAACTCAAGATCCCGCGCGGCGCCGCACTCAGCGGCTAAGTCAGCACATTTGGCCGCTCTCCGTCGGACGCGGCGACTGCGGCTGCGGGGCACGCACTGTTGTGACCACGAACAAAACTGCGTAGTATTCTGCCCCACAGTTTGTAGCACAATTTGTTGCACGTCGTCGCGCCGCATGGAGAAGGCACTTCGCACCGATGATGCTACTCTGCCGGGGTTCCATGGGGGACACGCCGAAAGTGCCGCACAAAGAAAAGTCGTCACGTGGACCTGTTACAGCCATGTGAATTTCGGAAGTACGGTGTAACAAACTCGAACACTTGGACCATAACTGCTAGGGGAGGCAAACGAGAAGGAGGTACCAGACGACGACGACGATGAATCGGAGGAGGAAGAGGAAGAGGAGGAGGAGGAGGAGAAGGAGGAGAAGGATGAGGAAGAGGAAGAGGATGAGCAAGAGCAAGAAGAGGAGGAGGATAATAATGAGGAGGAGAGTGCGGGGGGAATGGGCACCAACCTGTGTACGATCCATGCTGGTCCCGCTATATGCCCCGCCCCCCTGAGGCCTCGCCGCGGCGGCCCACACAGCGATGCCCCTGGGGTCGACGGTGCCCCTCGGGTCGGTATGGGGGGGGGGCGTCAGGAAGGCAGGGGAGGGGCGGGGGGAGGAAGAAAATGAAAACCTCGCCTCGCCTCTAAGTTCTCTTTGCCTCTATGTGCCACGCTTTCGCCTCTCGCAAGGACTGTAAAAAACCTTCCGTATTTCACGGGATCCAGAAGAACGACGATGACGATGACGATGACGATATTGATAACAATGATGATGGTAATGATGACGACGACGATACTGCTGATGCTGATGCTGCTGATGATGATGCTGATGATGACGATGATGAAGAAGGTATTGATGGTGGATCCGACGGAAAAAATCAAGAATTCCGGGGTTCCACGTGGAGTAACATGTTGATGTCGAAGGCCTGGGGAGGTAGAGGAGGAAGAGGAGGGAGGAGGGAGGAGGAAGGAGGGAGGAGGGAGGATGCTGATGAGGAGGAGGAAGAGGAGGAGGAGGAGGAGGAGGAGGAGGAGGAGGAGGAGGAGGAGGAGGAGGAGGAGGAGGAGGAAGAAGAGGAGGACGAAGAGGACGAGGAGGAAGAGGGCAGGAATGGGGGAGGAGGTTCAGGGGGAGGGGGATGAGGAGGGACGTGGGAGGAGGGGGAGGATGAGACGGCGGAGGCCCCAACGATCCCTCACTGCCGCGGCGCATCGGCGTCGGCTGTTTTGCGGGGACGCTGCTCGGGGCTGCCCGGGAAGGCTGCCCACCGCTACAATGTTCGCAGGGGGTGCCGACGGCGACGGCCTCTGGCTCATAGCACCAACATGTGGTCTATCGTTTTGTGTGGGGCTCGAAGTTCGAGGTTTTCGGTCGCACTCGTCGGTTCTCGGCGGTTTTCCAGCCTCGGAGCGTTTTCAATCAGATGTGCCTCGCCGAAAGCGCTCCGGGGTGCCCGGATCTTACGTTGCATCTTCGGGGGCCCTTCTCTGTCCCCTGGATTGGTGCCTTTTCTTGTGCCCGACGCGGGCGCGATGCGGACCCGGCTCGGCCCTGGAGTGCTTTCGACGTGGACGCGACGTGGATTCGACGCGAATCGGACACGGACAGTTGGCGTGGGGCAGCCGAGGTCCCCCGAGGATGCAGCAGAGCGGCTCGTCCCGATCGGCCGCCGGAGGCCCGAGCTATGACCCGTCAACCAGGCCAAGGGCAACGGGCTCGCAGCGGGCTGCTGGCCCCCTCTCCCAGCCGGGCACTCTCTCCCTCTCGCTCTCCCGCTGCGTGGCCTTGGAGGCCTTCCCGACCGCCTGTCGTGCGCTGCAGTGGCCGCGCGCCAAGGGCGCCTGTACGACAGGCTCGTGTCGTGCCGACTCCAGCGTCGGTTCCTGACACCGCGGGGATCGTTCAACCATGAACGATCGACCGTTTCCGAAACGTCAGCTCGTTCAATATCGACCGATTCTGGGTCGCTGGCGGTGTTCAACGTTGAACGCTGGCGGCGGGGTCGCCGCGGGTCGACACGACCCGAACCTACTGTAGGACCCTCGCTAATCGCCCACCCGGGCAAGAAAGGTTCAGCGTGCACGGCGCTGGTGTCCGCGTCGCTAGGCGCTAGGAGGAACCGTCGGCCACTTGCCAATTCGGGCGTCTGGCAGCCGCAGGCATGTAGACTTGCGCGTGATTAGGGAAGGCGTGCTGCTGAGCCCTTGAGACACGAACGGGCACACGGGCGACAAAGCGGCTTGGGAGCACAGAGCTTGCTCATACTTTGCGTACATGAATCGGTTCCTGCGCTCCACGCTCTCCCTGGCCCCCCCAAACTTCCAGGAACGAGTGCCGCACTACAGCTGCTGCAAGAGGCCTCACACACAGCCATGCCGCTCAAACTTATTGCGTGCCAATTTTGCTTGGGGCTGACGTTGCTCCGCTCGAGAATGGTGCCAACTAACATTGTGAGACTGTCGAAGTCCTCTTGGTTGGATGCTCGCTCCCAAGTGTGCTCAGGGCTGAGACTGCTCTGTTCTAGGATGGTGTGAACTATTGTAAACTTTGGACATCGTGGGAACGTTGTATGCTCCTTCGCGAACTACTTCGTAGCGGTCATGCCCTTCCACCCATCCACTGGCCAACACGCCGCCCATCCCACCGTTTTCATTCGAAATGTCGATGATGGTGTGCATGCTCAATGTCTTGTCGCCAAGTAGTAACCACCAAAGGGCTGGGGCAAATAATAATCAAAGTTGCGAAGTGATCTCGTAGGCTGGGGCTGGTCCTTTCGGGATCTCAGAGGGGATGAGGATGGCCTTCCCTCTTCCCTCTCGCCTTCCCTCTCCCTAGAAACGCCAGCGCCGGCGAGGGAGAGAACCCGCGCCTGCAAGTGCTGCTCCTGCGGCGGCCGCCAAGTCCGCGCCTGCCCCGGGCGCCCCGGGAGGGGGGGGGCTTACGGCAGGGGAAGATGGGGGGAAGGGGGGGAGGAGGGAGGGAGGGAAAAGGAAGAAGGAGGGGGGAAGGGGGAGGGGGGGGGGAGGAGGGGGAGGGGAAGGAACTGGTGGGGGAAGAAGGAGGGAGGGAGGGGGGGGGGGGGAGGGGAGGGGGAGGGGGAAGGAGGAGGGAGAGATGGGAACGAAGAGGAGGGAGGAGGGGGAGTAGGGGGAGGAGGGGGAGGAGGAGGGAAGGAGGGGGAGGAGGAGAGAGGGATGGGGAAGAATGGGGGAGGGAGGGGGAGGGAGGAGGGATGGAGGAGGGGTGGGAGGGATGTGGAAGGAGGAGGGAAGGAGGGGCGGATGGTGAGGGGGGCGGGAAGAGGGGGCGGGAGGGGGCGGGAGGGAAGCCGTAGGACTTGAGGTGATCTTGCTTTTGGGCGCCTTAACTCCGTTTGTGGGTCCAAGTACCTGGTGTCACTACTCTGTAGGGCACAGGCCCGTGTCGCTGCGCCTGGTACGGCTGTGGCCGACGTTTCCACCTCTTGGGCTACCTAAGCAGGCCAGATGGAGTGCCGCGCCTGCAACGGCTGTGTGACCGACTCAGGGCCGCACGATTTGTCCGCCCAAGCGGCCCATGGGGCTGAAGCCCCAATCTCCGACTCACGGAATCGGTGCGCCATTGGGGGGTTGGTGGGTAACACTATTCCTACTTCGTTCCGCGATGATCGCTCATCCCACTGAGTGAGATAGATGGTTTCTCAGCACAGAGCAAACCTGCTCATGTGTCAGAAACCCTTTTGGTCAAGACCTCCCGCCGGCATCGGGGGTCACCGTTGGCACAACATCGCTTGTCCCACGAAGTGGGATGGGCGGTTTCTGAACGCAGAGCTAACCTACTCATGTTTTAGGAGCCCTTTGGTCCAGACCTCCCGCTGGCGTTGGGGGTCGCCGTTGGCAATGCGGCGCTCCTTGACCCCGTTGGTGGGCCCAGCTATCTGGTATCACCACCCTGCGGGGCACGGTGTCCTGTGTTGCCGCGCCTGCAACGGCTGTGGCCGACTTCCCCCCTCGTGGGCCACCTAAGCAGGCCAGATGGGGTGCTGCGCCTGCAACGGCTGTGTGACCGACCCGGGGCCACCTAAGCAGGCCAGAGGGGGGAAGGGGTACTCTGTGCCTGTGGGGGGCACGATTTGTCCGCCCAAGCGGCCCGTGGCGCCGAACCCCCGCTCTCCGAATCGCGGAATCGGTGCGCCATGGGGGGGCTGGTCCGCTATTTACACTCGCGCGTCTCATTCCATCGCCCAATATATGACAGCGATATGAGGATGGACGCGGCCGCAATGGGGTCTTTTCTCCCGATGAGTCGCTCAAACCCGGTGCTGGGTTGCGGCGTCCCGCGAAACCAGAGCGAGAAGGCCTGTGTCCTGTGATGTTGCAGCGGCGTTGGGGATCACCGTTGGCGGTGCACAGCAACACTTATCCCACTTAGTGGAATAGATGGCTCCTGAATGCAGAACTAATCTACTCATGTTTTTGGAACCGTTGGCAGTGCGCAACATCGTTTGTCCCACTTAGTGGGATAGATGATTTCGTAGCACAGCGATAACCTAATTACTCATAACGGCGTGTGAAATAATTAATTAGTGCGCACATTCACATACATTTTCATGTATTCAATCACCGCTGGGTGATGTGATGGACGTCTCAGGTGCCAGACAGATATTGCTGCAATATCTGTGGCATCATGCCGCAGGATGCCCATGCCTGTCCATTGATAGGCATGGGCGTCCGAACTTCAGGTGCGAGAACCGGGCGCCACTGCGTGTGCATCTAGAATATTTGGCAACCGCGCAAACGCGTCACCTACTGGACACGGTGGATGTCGGAGGCTGTCGCGCCCGCAAGGGGAATGTGGCCGACCCGCGGCCATTTGAGCGGGCCAATGTGCTCGTATGCCAAGCAACACCCTTGTGGGGGCGGGATGCCAATGCCCGTCCATCGACTCCATCGACAAGGATGGGCATCCAAACCAACACGACGCCAACTTGTGGCCGTCACCGTCGAAGGCTGCCTCGCCCGCCGTGTGCCGAGCAAAGCCCTCATTGCGAGGGCGGAGTGCCCATGCCTATCCATCTGCAGGCATGGGCATCCTAGCTTTAGGCACGAGGGGGGAGATGCTAACTTTTCCAAGCCATCGAGGCACGAAAAGCGGATGCAAACTCCTGTTCATCCACAGAGGTGGGCATCCAAATTAGCACGGCAACGGGGCCATCAAGCGGCCACCGACACGGGCCTCGTACCACGACCTCCCTGGGGGGGGCGTGTCTGGCTGGAATGTGGGGCCATTAAATCCTGCGCCCCTGTCGCCCAGCCGCTCACTGGGTAAGGGGCTGCCCAAGGGTGCCCCTCGAGTTCAGTAAACTTTCAGTGGCGCCCCGTGTGTCCCCTGAGCTTCTCCCCGTGGCGAGTATCGAACGGCGTCGGTACGGGGAGGGGGGCCGGAGGAGGGGAGGGGGTGGGGTGAAGGTAAGGGCGCGGAAGAGGTTGAAAGGGAAACGGAGGAAGGGGGGGGGAGCTGGCACGAGCAGGCGGTACGTTCGTCCCAATGGCCGCGGCGCAAGCCTGCGCCGCGCCCTGTGGAGGCGTGGTCATTTTATGCCAGGATCGTTGAATTCAGACTCTGTCCGCTTTTCAGAATCCGCTCTCTGGGTGAATCAGGACCCCCCTCTCGTTGCCGTCACTCGTCGTCTACTGGGGTCAACTTGGAGCCGTCGCGGGGTTGCATTGGGATCGCGGGGTCAACTGGGGGACACAAAGGCATGGCGATGCCAATGTTGCAAGGTAGTGTCGATGCACATGTGACGGCAAAGGTAGCTGTAAACGTGGCGTGCGTCGCCATGGTCAATGAAGTCGGCGGGAACATTTACTCTGCACTCGTCGCAGGCGTCGAGCCCGCGCCCCCCCATCGCGCGACGCGCGCGCGTTTCTACGCGACGCCCGCGCAGCACTCCGAGCTGGCATTCGCTCCTCGGCAGTCACTCCTCTGCCTGCATTCGTCGTCGTCGTCGTGGCTCCCCCGTCGCCGCCGTCGCGCCCGCGCCCCCGTGTTGCGGCGCCCGCGCATCGCGCGCCACTCGCCCCGCTCTTGCTGACATATGCTCGGCATGTTGTCGTAGTGGCAAGGTCGCGGCGCCCATTGCGCCCGCTCCCCGACTCCGCGGCGCCCGATCGCCGAAATTTGCTTTGCACTCGTTCGTCGTTCGTCGTCATGCCCCGCCGTCGCCAGCGCCCGCGCAGCTCCCCCTCCATGCGCTCGTTCGTCGTTCGTTGTCCTGCCCCACGTCCGTCGCCCCGCATCCGTCGCCGGCGCCCGCGCAGTTTCCCCCCCCTCCCCCAGCATATTCATATTGCAGGGAAGGATTCATTCGTGCCACCTGGGCTTCGGGTCTTAGACCTTGGAACGATTCCGAATGGTTTCGCACTGTGTGCGATTCGTGCTTTCGAGCGACAGAGTTTATTTTACGTTGGGTATGAACCATTCAACGCATCATAGCTCATAGCGCAAGTATGCGAGATCATGCCAGCGCGTATTGGCAAGGGTCGTCACAATGATTTTGCAAATGGAATTCTGAAGCCTTGGTTTGGTTTGTGGAAATGGCCGAAACAAGCCCGCGCAACACCTCCTTTTTGGGCCAAATTTTATTATGCTCTCGTTCGTCTTCGTCACCATGTCTCGCGCCCCGTCCGTCGCCGTCGCCCGCGCGGCGCAAGGAACCGGCCGCTTTCCGCGCAGAACCCCGCGTCCCGGGATTTCGGGGCCCTGATGGAAAGACCTACCTCGTTCCGCGCATAATCCCGCGCTCTGGGATTTCGGGGGGCCTGGCCGAAAGACCTGGCGCGTTCCGCGCGAGACTCCGCGCTCCAGGATTTCGGGGGGCCTGGCGGAAGGACCTGGCGCGTTCCGCGCGAGGCTCCGCGCTCCCAGCCAAGGGCGTGGCGCCGCGTGCTTGGAAGCGCGGGGTCTCGCGCGGAACGCGCCAAGTCTTTCGGTCTTTCTGGTGCGAGACCGAAGGACCTCGCGCATTCAGGGCTTGGCCCCACGCCCCTGCGAGCGCGGAATCTCGCGCGAGGCCCCGCGCCCCCCCGCCCCCGACGTCATCGACGCGGCCGCGCCCCTGCGGGCGCGGGGTCTCGTGCGGAACGCGCCGGGTCTTTGCGCCCATTGCGCGGCGGCAGAACCCCCGCGCGGCGCCAGTTACCAAGTGGAACAACGCTTGCGAAGATAATGTGCGCCAGCGTGGACCTGGGAACGGGACTAATTGCGCAGTTGATATGCGGGTACTGTGGTGCAGGCTTTGCGGCGCAATCGACGCGGTGTTTGCTGCGCGGTGTTTGCTGCGCGTTGCAAGCTGCGCGGCGCGACGCGTGCGGCGCTGGGATGCAAGCTGCGGGGTGAGCGCCACGTAGTGTCTGCGCGATGCGATCTATGGTTGAGCATGTGTGGGTTGATCTGAATGGTGCTCTCTTCGCAAACGCTCCGCGCGCTGCTCGTCCCACGACGCGCTCGTCGGGGGGCGACGGCGACTCGGGGCGCGGCGCCCAGCCGGTGGCGCGGCGCCCAGCCCGTGCGCGCGCAGCCGCGGCTGAGCTATGAGGGCCCAGCGCGCCGTCGCGCCGCCGCCGACCGAAAGCGCCTGGGCAGCCGCCCAGCTCAAGAGGCGCCCGCCGAGGCGCCCGTCCACGGGCGGCCGCGGTCGGGCACGCGGCGAGCCTTCGGCGCGCCCGCCCCGCGCGCGAGGCGCCCGCGGGCGGGCACCGGGCGAAACCTCGAAGCACCCACCGGATGCACGGGGCGCCCGCGGGCGGCAGCCAACGAACAAGGCACCAGGCGAAACCCTGCCACGCCCACCCAACTATTCGAAGAGCAACAAGCACGAAACTTTAAAACGCAGACGCTGTCTTGGGAATCGAAACCCCAACGCGTTGA